TGGATCTGTTGGACTGACAGGAGGTCATAGAAGAGGACATTTTCCACTGATAGCATCTTTATCATTTATTTGTGTAGTTTGTATTTTGACCACTGTAAAGTATTTCTGTCCTACTCGTGATAAAGCAACTGACATGCTGGAACAAAATTAACGACAGTAGATTTAGCTATTCCTCATGTCTGCACCAACAGTATAGTTCCTCTCCTCGAGCTGCCACCTTGGCGTTGGTGGAGAGGCTTGTGTGCTCAAATCCTGGAGCGTTCAGTTCCATGACAAACAGGTTTCAGGTGATGAGCCAGACTAAGAGCAGCTCAACAAAAAAAGTGATGGACTGAGTAAATCATGTGTCTTGTGTGACTTCTAGTTGTATAAACCAACTAAAAATATAAAAGAATGAGAGCTCTTTAACTGAGCCCTTAAACTTAGGTGCAGACTAATGCTTTTGTGGATATCTGTGATACAAATATCAAAGAGAGGTACCTACCTGCAAAACTTTATCTTTAACAGATCAGACAAAACTAATCTACTTTTAAATCACTTATAAAATACAAGAACTCTGGTTTTCTGCTGTAGTTGGGACTGGTGGAGCTCCTGTATATTAACTGCTTCGCACTGTTAATGTGTTGTTGTTTATTTTTTTAAGAAATCAGTAAATATACAGGAGGTTCTCATCCCCTGCTGTTCTCAAGTGCTTTATTTACTAATTTAGGAAAATAAATGTACTACATTTTCTTCTATCAGAAGTTTTGGTTCAGGCTTTATTACAAGCACAGAGTGAAACGTGTATTAATCAACTAATCTTTATATTTAATAAGTGATCTAAAAGTAGATTTTTTTTGTGAAACTTGCTTGGGGTTTTTTGTGTATTTTTGATTTATATTCTTTAACACAATAACTTAAAGAAAACATTTTTTCTGGATATTTGCATAAACATTTGATTTCATTATCTACCAAGTTAATCCTTAGAGCATTTCTTTGAACACATCCTTGCGTGTCTCCTGATAATAATCCTCCTAGCTAGTCTGGGCCTGCTCATGTAATTAGAGACAACAAAGTGAAGCTCTTATTACAAGGTGCAGGAGTTGTACTTTGCATTTTGTTCCTACCACAGCTTGATTCAGCGCTGGGTTTTTAAGGGAGAAGAAAGCAGTTCCTCTTCAGTATGATATAAGTTTTCTCTTATTTCCTTTGTTTATTAGCAGAAAATAAGGCAGACTTTTCAAATCATGTTGCAAACAGTTGATGTGTGAACAGATAAACAGTAAAGGGTTTCTAGGGATCTTGGTTTATTTTTACTCCCTGATTTTATTTATTTATTTTAAAAGAATTGAACAAATGTATTTTTCCAGTATCAGAAATCACATATTCTAAATGTTTTTACCTTCTGTAGGAAATAAACATAATTAGTGACAAATAATTATGACAGAGCTCAAAGTAGATCCCTTGTGCATTACAGAAACAGAAAAGGTTTGCCTTTATTTCTGTGGAAATGAATGCTAAAGTATTTAGCCTCATGAAACTGAGCGTGATTATGCAGGTCCTGTCATGCTCCTACTCTTACAAGAATCCTGCTGATCAAGTCTAAAAATAGTCACAACAAACTGAGCTCAGTTTGGCCTGTTTCTGTATGTTTTTCACCAGGCACTGCAGCACTAAAGGGTTAAAGATATACATTTAATATTCACTTATGCAAATCTTTAGATATTATTTTAGAAAGTCTGGTCAAGTTTTTCATTCTGACCTTTTTCTTTAAATCTGATATTCATCCATCCATTCGCTTCCACTTATCCTTTTCAGGGTCGTGGGGGGCGCTAATATTGTTTTTACAGCTCAGGGTGGAAATTTTTCCCCACGTCATTCTGTTTCATTTAGCAAACAATACATGTCATCTGGCCAGCACGGTGGCACGGTGGTTAGCACTGTTGCTGCACAGCAATAAGGTCCTGAGTTCAATTCCAACATCAAGGCCGGGGTCTTTCTGTGTGGAGTTTACATGTTCTCCCTGTGTTTGTGTGGGTTCCCTCTGGGTGCTCTGGCTTCCTTCCAGACATGCAGCTTGTGGGGATAGGTTAATTGGATGATCCAAATTGTCACTAGGTGTGAATGAATGTGAGTGTGAATGGTTGTCTGTCCCTGTGTGTTGGCCCTGTGACAGACTGGCGGCCTGTCCAGGGTGTACCCTGTCTCTCGCCCATATCCAGCTGGGATAGGCTCCAGCGCCCCCGCGACCCTGAAAAGGATAAGTGGAAGCCAATAGATGGATACATGTCATCTGTTCCCTGCCTGCTTTTGTTTGAGTTCATTCATTCTCTGTTTACTGTGCAAACACTAGAGTCTGTTTCAAGGTGAAGTGTTCCCAGTGGCTCTCACATGTCGATCTGCTGTTTTCTCATAGCCCAGAGTCACAAACTGCAAAACATGGCGAAAATATTCAACACAGAATCAAGATTAATCTTTTTCTCAGGACTGTTTCTAGAAAAAAAGTAACTTAATCAGCTGAGGTGACACCAGAGTGCTTTGAAAGGAGAAGCAACAAGAAACCATCTCACCATCAGACCAGACAGTCAGCATGACTGATGAGTGACACATCATCATGCGTATGAATGCTGCAGTCATGATGTATCTTACAGCAGATCTTGATATATAGTGGGTATATGTTTTAACATTCGGGAGGTTGTTAAACTCACAGGGCAACTCAGTTAAACGTGGTTTAACAAGGACAATGAACTAAATGACATAAAATGGCCCAAGTGGAGGGTGTAGTTTGGTGACATAGTCTGTCCTCAGGTTAGTTTCTTTTGCTCATCATTTCCTCAACTTTTAATGGAGAGCAGAGGAGAGTCAGGTCAAGGATAAGTTATGCAAATCAGTAATTCAAATTGTGCATATCTCAGTAAAATTTGATGCAAAGTTTGTGATTGTGTTGTATTTACAGTCTCTTCTTTTGTGTTGTTGGTACTTCAGTGCCAAGATAATCTCAGAGCAAATAAAAAAAGCTAATTCTACTGAGGCTTTTTGGAGTTCAGGGGATATTATAATTTATTTATAATTCACTATAAATCTGAAAAAAAAAAAGATTTCACAGAGAAAACGAAAGTAATGCATATTCATGGTTACAGGTCATGTGATGTCCTTCACAGCAGGTAAACTGGTTTGAGGTGTGTCTATTGCAACCTTGTGTCTAAAGGTTATCCTAAATTCTTAACTTATTTTATGAACAATTTGATGTCAGTCCAGTTTGATTTATAAAGCCCCAAATCAGAAGAACAGTCACCTCAAGGTGCTTTGCACTGTAAGATAAAGACCGTACAATAACACTTGGTGACGGTTGGAAGGAAAACCTCCCATTTAGCAGAAAGAAACCTTAGAGTCAGATTAATGGACAGGCAACCATCTGCTGTGAGCAGTTAAAGGTGTGGAGAAGGATAACAGGACAAGCATTGTGGGTATAAGGTGTCACCTGCTTCTGTTTGATGTCTTCAAGGTCAAATACTCCCAGCAGTCTCACGTGTCAGAGTCTGCTGTTTTCTGTGTCTCTGAGAATTTTCATTTACAAACTGCAATCATGAGGTACAAATACAACACAGATTTCAGTCGATTAGTTGTAATCAGAGCTGGTTTGATTCTTTAAATACTGGTGAAACATCCACCAGTGCTTCCCTCATGACTCCTAATAGCAGACTGAACACTGGAGCATCCTTTATGAAGGGAGACAGTAAGAAACTTCACATCACTCCTTCGCCTTGTGATGTTTTCCTTCAAATTCAAGTAAACATAAATCAAAGATAGAGGAGGAAGTGTATCATACTGTAAGTTTGAAACTATGTGTTCCTGTCAGAACAGGGAAGTAAAAGCTTCTGTAACCAATAAAGGGGGAAATCTGCTGTTGCTGTTAAAGGAAGTTTAGTCATATCAATCCTATAACATTAGCTACTTAGAGACTGAAACCTGAGAGCAGAGCACACATATCTCTGATAAAACAAGTTCTACTGGCAATGAGAGGAGAAACTATGAATGTCAATTGTGCATGCAAAGTTTCTGCTCATGTTTCCTCTGTTTGATGGCTCTGTGAAGTCTGTGAGTAAAAAACACCAATTGAGTTTAAAGGAAGCTGTTTGGGAGTCTGGGGATTTTATTGGTCTTTGTCACTTAATATGAAATGAAACTCAAAGAGAGGGAAAATGAAAGCTATGCATTAAGTTTTGTTTTACAAGAATCGAGAAAGAGAAAGCCACGCCCACCAGCATTTTGTTTATCAGTGGAAAGTTTCCAAAATTTATTCTGTGATTTTACTTGTTTTAGACATTTTAATGATATAAGGAACATTATGCATGACTCAGATGGATGAACAGAAGCTTCGCTGCAGGTTTTTCTCTGTTTAATATGTAGATAAAAGTGAATCACTTAAAAGAAATGACCTCTGGAGGTCTGATTTAAACACAGAGGCTGCTCTTTTGAACAGGACACATATTTATTCATGGACTCTCCTTTGACTCCCTCCTTCCTCCGCTGTATATAAATGTATAACCTTTATTTGTATGTCTTTCTCTCACAGTCAGAGCAGATATTTTAAAGATGTTTTAAATACATTCCTGGATTCATCTGCAGCAGAGCTGAAGCTGGCTGAGCTGTTACTGTGGGAGCGTTTAGCTGGAATTCAAAGAACTGAGAAACTCTTGTCCGTCACATGTTCCTGTTAGTCTGGATTATTATTTTTTATATAATTGGTGTGAGTGTTTATAACATTTAGTGTCTGATGGATCTTTACAGAGGGCACAGCAGAAGCAAATTTTCTGCTTAATATTCACTGATTGCTTTACTTCTCTGTTTATTGAACCACTGTAATGTAGATTTTTTTGCTCTCTATCAGCTCATATTTACAAATTTCCTAATTTTCTTTTTTCCCTCTCAATAAAGGTCAGAGGTCACAGTGAAAGCCTTCACGTGTTGTTGGGTTGACAGAATCTCCTGTGCTGCCACCTGCTGGTGAAGATCTGTCAGAGGGCTTCATACACCAATCACTGTAAGCATGTTACTAAATTATAACCTTGATGACGTAAACCACACACACACACACACACACACACACACTCAATGAACAACTGAAATGTGTAAACAAAGTCTAATTACTTCCCCATGGAGGTCAGCAGTTCTTTCCTTTTATGCCAAAGGAAAACAAACTCTGCATAGAAACAGCTGCTGTGTGGAAAGACCTGCATGACTGATGACTTAGACTGAATGAGAGAGACAGGTCAAAGGTCAGATGAAAACCATCATTTGTTGAGCATTCTGAAGCTCCTCTGCTGCCACCTACTGGCCCCATGACTGATGTCTTTATACACAGTGCATACACTCATTGGCCACATTTTTAGGTACACTTTGTTAGTCCTGGATCGAACCGTCTTTTTGCTTTCAGAACTGACATAATCCCTCCTGGCATGGACTAGAGAGAGATGATAGCATCGCACAGCTTCTGCACATTTGATGATGTGAATCCCACACATCACTAAAGAGCTGCACTGGATTTAAATGTTTGACATGTCTTTATGATACAGAACAAATAGTTAAAGCAAAAATAAGTCTTTTCACCCCCACAATGTTCTTTTTGTTGAGAGTAACTTTCAATATCAGATTTCCTCTGAAAATTACACATTTGCATAACGTAACTTAACAATTACAAATAAAGATATCAGTGTAAGAGGAAAGGTCACCCTAACATGATCTGGAAATTAATTTGGTTGCAATATCAAGGCAGGAGAAAAATCTTTCCACTTCTTCCTTACTGAAGGTGAAAGCTGCTCTGTTTTGGTTCTCACCTCTCCATCTGATCTAAAAACAGACTCAGTGTAATGCATGTGAATCAGCACAGGAAATATAAAACTTCATTCAAATTACCTTTGATTGGAGATGATCTTCCTGTGGAAAGGTGAATAAGAAAATTGCCTCTCATCCTTGTTAAACTGATGATGTTTTTGAGCTTCTCTGTCTCATAGCTGCAGATCACCCAAAAGCATGTGCAAAGATTCACTAAACCTCATAAATCCCTTTACATGCCTTCCTTACATAAGAAACATTACTCATGGCTATATATCTGTAAAAGACAAATTCAAAGACAATTACTGGCATGCAGCACTGAAAACGAGAGGACTTACTCTCAAAATACATCATCCAACCTTACCGTTGGTCTCTGGTTGAAGGTCTTCAGTCACTGTAAATTTTGCAAAGATGCAGATGAGGCAGAGACGCAGGCACTGATGTGCATTCAAAACTGTTCCCAAGCAGCTTCCATTATACTTTTGCATGTGTGCAACTTATTAGAGAGGTGAGATACAAATGCTGAGAGATAAACAGCATAACACAGTTGGGAAACTAAGAAAAATCAAAAAACAAAACAGCTCTGAGAAAGTCTGCATTTCCATATAGCTTTGACATTTACACAACCTACAATACTCACACATCCTTTTGTGCATGACCACTAGAGGCCTAGTTTTATCACTCATTCTCATCCTGTTGTCTTGTTCAATGATTCAGTTATTGAAAAACATTTCAACTTACCTACA